ATCATTGAAAAAAAAATCATAAAAATACCCTAAAAATTCCGCCGAAATTCCCGAAAATATTTTAAAAATTCCCAAATAATTTCCAACCCCTCAAAAACCTCCCGAACCCTCCTAAAAAATCATTTAAAAATCGTTTAAAAATTCATTAAAAAACCATTAAAAATCATAAAAAATTCCCAAAAAATTCCCTAAAAATTCCCAAGAATTCCCCAAAAATTCCCAATCCCATAAATCCCCCCAAAACCTCCCCAAACCCCTCACAAATCATAAAAAAATCATTTAAAAAATCACAAAAAAATCGTTAAAAAATCATCAAAAAATAAAAAAACAAACAGAAAAATTCCCTAAAAGTTCCCCAAAAATTCCCTAAAAAACTTCCCAAAAAATTCCCTAAAAATTCCCAATCCCATAAAACCCCCCAAATCTCTCCAAACCCCCCCAAAATCATAAAAAAAATTTAAAAAAATCATTAAATAATCACAAAAAATCATTTAAAAAAATCATTAAAAAAAACAAAAATTCCCAAAAAATTCCCCGAAAAATTCCCAATCCCATAAAAACCCTAAAACCTCCCCAAACCCCTCAAAAAATCATTAAAAAAATCGTTTAAAAATCATTAAAAAAATCACAAAAAATCGTTAGAAAATCATTAAAAATTCCTCGAAAAATTCCCGAAAAATTCCCGAAGTTTCTCACCCATGAGCAGTCGGATGTGGGGGGGTTTGTGGCCCCCCCGGACGAGCAGGAGGTAAAGGGGGGTCCCCGTGGCCATGACCCCCAAACCGACCCCGCAGATCAGAGGCTCCGCCCACACCGAGAACACCAACAGGGTCCCCCAGAAGAGCAGGTACAAAACTGGGAAAAACAGGGAAACCTGCGGGAAAAGCAGGGGAAAAAATCAGGAAAAGTTGTGGGAATTTTGGGGGAATTTTTGGGGATTTTTTGGGATTTTTTCCGGATTTTTTCTGATTTTTTTACGATTTTTTAATGATTTTTTAATGATTTTTTAATGAATTTTTAATGGTTTTTTAATGGATTTTTAATGGTTTTTTAATGGATTTTTAAATGATTTTTTAATGAATTTTTAAATTGTTTTTAAATGATTTTTTAAATTATTTTTTAATGATTTTTCAAATTATTTTAAATGATTTTTAAAGGATTTTTTGATGATTTTTTAATGATTTTTTAACGATTCTTTAATGATTTTTTAATGACTTTTTAATGATTTTTTAAATGAATTTTTTAGTGACTTAAGGGGCGTGGTTTAAGGACAAAAGGGGTGGGGTTTGGGCCAGGAAGGGGCGTGGTTCAGGGGACGAAGTGGGAGGGGTTTAAGGGTGAAAGGGGGCGTGGCTCGAGGCAGAAGGGGGTGTGTCCCACCTTGATGGGGCGGGGCAGGTGGGGCTCGCGGCGGCGCAGGAGGAGGAGGGCAGCGACGGTGACGCCGTACCAGAGGTAATTAACGAAGCCGACGTAATTAATGAGCGTGTAGATGTCGCCCGTCACCAACATCAGCAGCGTCGACACACACTGAGAACACCCAAAATCCGCCAATATCAGCCCAAAATTCAGTCCAAATCCGAGCCAAATTTGAGCCAAAAACTCGCTCAAAACTGACCCAAAATTCTGCCCGAAACTCGCTCGGGTTTGACCCAAAATTCGACTCCAATTTGAGTCAAATTTGAGTCAAAATCGACCCAAAATTCAATTTTAATTTGAGTCGAATTTGAGCCAAAACTCGCTCAAAATCCACCCAAAATCTTGCCCAGAACTCACTTGGATTTGATGCAAAATTCGACTCGAATTTGAGCGGAATTTGAGTCAAAACTGACCCAAAATTCGACCCAAATTGGAGCCAAATTTGAGTCAAATTTGACTCAAAATCGACCCCAATTTAGAGCAAAAATTCCGCCTGAATTTGAGCCAAAACTTGCGCAGATTTCACCCAAAAGTCAACCCAAAATTGATCCAAATTTGAGCCAAAACTCGCTCAGATTTGACCCAAAATTCGACTCGAATTTGAGCGAAATTGGAGTCAAAATTGACCCAAAATTCGATTTGAATTTGAGCAAAATTTGACTCAAAATTCACCCAAAATTGGACCCAAATTCTGGCTAAAACTTGCTCAGACTGGACACAAAATTTGAGTAAAATTTGAGCCAAAACTTGCTCAGATTGGACCCAAAATTCGTCTGGAATGCGAGAAAATTTCAGCCAAAACTTGCTCAGATTTGACCCAAAATTCCACCCAAATTTTCCCTCAATTTTTGCTCAATTTTCACTCAATTTTCTCCCAAATTTTGCCAAATTTCACCCAATTTTCACCAAAATTTCACTGAACTTCACCCAATTTTCCCTCAATTTTTGCTCAATTTTCCCTCAATTCTCACCTGAATTTTCGCCCAAATTCCTCCCAAATTTTGCTGAGTTTCACCCAGTTTTCTCTCAATTTTTCCTCAATTTTCACCTAATTTTCCTCCAATTTTTGCCTGAATTTCACTGGTTTTCACCAAATTTTCTCTCAAGTTTCACCCAATTTTCTCTTAATTTTCCCTCAATTTTTGCTCAATTTTCACTCAATTCTCACCTGAATTTTCACCCAAATTTCGCCCAAATTTCCCCCAATTTTCGCCCAATTTTCCCTCAGTTTTTCCTCAATTTTCCCCCAATTTTGGCCCAAATTTCACTGAATTTCACTCAATTTTCCTTCGATTTTCCATCAGTTTTCGCTCGATTTTCCCTCAATTTTTCCCCAATTTCCCCCCGATTTTTTTACCCCAAAATCTCTGTTTTTCGCCCCAAAAACTGACGGTGAGGAGCGGGGCGGGGACAGGGGTGTGTCTGTGCAGGTGGATCATGGCCAGCAGGGCCGGCAGCTGCCCTTCCTTGGCCCCGGCGTAGAAAAGCCTGGAAAAAACCCGGAAAATTCCCGGTTTTCCCCCCCCCCAAAAAAACCCCTCCCGTTTTTCCCAAAATCTTACCCATTTTTACCCCAATTTTTCCCATTTTTGCCCCAAATTTCTCCCATTTTCCCCCGATTTTTCACTCTTTTTTGCCCCAAATTTCACTCTTTTTTACCCAAATTTAATCCCAAATTTCACCCCTTTTTACCCAAATTTAGTACCAAGTTTCGACCATTTTTTGCACAAATTTTTCCCTTTTTTTGTCCAAATTTCACCCAAATTTGTTCCCTTTTTTACCCAAATTTCCCTCAAAGTTTCAACCCTTTTCCCCCAAATTTCTCCCACTTTTTCCCAAAATTTCACCCATTTTTTCCCAAATTTCCCTATTTTTGTCCCAGTTTCTCAGGTTTTTTGCCCAATTTTTTTCCCTTTTTTATCCCAAATTTCCCCCTTTTTTCCCCCAAATTTAGCCCCAAATTTCTCCCACTTTTCCCCCAAATTTCCCCCCAAATTTCCCCATTTTTGTCCCAATTTCTCCCATTTTTTGCCCAAATTTCCCCCTTTTTTGCCCAAATTTAGTCCCAAATTTCCCTCCTTTTTACCCCAAATTTCCTCCCTTTTTACCCCAAATTTCCTCCCTTTTTCCCCCAAATTTCCCCCTTTTCCCCCGCAAATTTAGTCTCAAATTTTACCCATTTTTTCCCCAAATTGCCCCCAAAATTTCCCCATTTCAGTCCCAATTTCTCCCATTTTCCCCTGAATTTTTCCCAGATTTCTCCCAGTCCCTCCCAGTATAAACCAGTCCCTCCCAGTCCCCCCCAATCCTCTCCCAGTCCCTCCCAGTATAAACCAGTAACCCCAAATCCCCTCCCAGTCCCTCCCAGTACAAACCAGTGACCCTCAAACACCCTCCCAGTATAAACCAGTCCCCTCCCAATCCCCTCCCAGTCCCTCCCAGTCCCCCCAATCCCCTCCCAGTCCCCCCC